ACGAAAATTAATATAAAGTTTGAAAATATTGAAAGGCATGCGACTTGATCGTGCTTTCACTGGCAATAATTCTGAAACTCATGTTAACTTATTCACATAAGTTTTAGAGTCGGAGTCAGCGTATAGCCCAAATAAACCAAATAAAGTCAATTCCATATCAGTACTGTACTACATAGACGGAAAGAAAGAAAACTATTTATTGGATCGTATTACGAATATGATTTACTGTCGGTAATTATACCCAAATAAAAACAATCTGGGGCGATTTCGGAGTATTTTGGTTCATTGCTAGGGTTTGGGAAAGGGTTGCATATCCCCAGAATTTCGCACTGAGTTGACAGAAATTTTTTTACTTGGGTATATAGTCTAGTGGTTCTCTCATGTAATAAAATAGTGTGAAGTTACAGCTTCCACGTAGTACAATATAATTTTATATATATGCATAAAATTAGAGCGGACAGTTTTTTGAATAAATTCTTGATGTGACAGAAAGAATAAGCAACAAGAAACTATGGAAAGAAAACCCAGCCAATAGCTGGTTGCTCAACAAATATGTAGGAGAAAATGTAGGTGGATTGACATACACTGAGGAGACCGTCGAATGACATCGCACGCCAGGCCGCCGCTCGAGTGAAATCCAAATGGGAAGCGACGGCAAAAATAGATCACGGTGGAGATGTGTTTTTTGCAAGCCTTATGTTCCACTCGGAACGCAAGGAAAAAATAATAAACTCCAGACTTTATAATTATAAATTTATCAATTTAAGCATACAATAGCCAGTACTGGCAATTTAGAATCATATCAGAAATGTACTGTGGAACTAGTATAAGATGGGGTGGAACAATAGTCCATTTTTGAATATGCATGTTCAATGAGAACATGAGATAAGATAACATATATATATATATATATATATATATATATATATATATATATATAGTCAACAAAATTACAGGTTTTAAGGGTGAGTGTAATCAGTGGTGTATGAGACAATATGAATACTACAGAAAATAAACCAACAAATGGGACGGAGTACATGTAAGTTCAAGGGTGACAAATAACAACAACAATAATAATAATGAAGTAATAATGATGATGTGGCGTAAACACAAAAGTATTATTTAATGAAGTGAATTCAACAAAATTGTGTAAACACAATAACAAGTTTAAAAAGCTTTCCATAAGCCTTAGGTAACAGACATAATCAGAAGCCTCATAAAGTTTTTGTCAATGAAACAAAGGAAAAGAGTAGGGAAAAGAAAAATAAATGGGATGGAAATTTAACGTGCGAACGTTTATGGAGGATTTGCTGACCTTATTGTAGGCCAAAGTAAACAAGGCGGTTGGACATACCTCTGTATTCAGAGACCAGGTGTTGTGGCATTGATTACTACCGCTCTAGCTAATGATAGAAGACGTAGTCGAGCAACTCCAAGTATATTATCAGGAACACTTTAGATAACTGAGAGCCCCTGCTCAGGTTTTACGCTTGTTCCACAACACATTTCTGATATCATTCAAATTTGCCTTTACTGGTGGTTGTGTGCTTAAATTAATGAATTTATAATTGTAGAACCTGAAGCAGAATTTGTTGAAAACTATTGTTCGCTCTAACTATTTTTGTTCATATATATATATAAGCTTATCTGTTGTGATGCGTTTTAGAAGTTGAAAGCCCTAATTTTTCAGCATCGGGGCTACAGCAGTTAGGACTCTCGCCGACCATGCAAATGGTTCGGGATTCGAAGCCCCTACCGACGCACAGCCGATATCAATTGGTCGGTCTGTAAAATTTGGGCTACCGATATCACATGCTGAAAATCCCATACTTCTGACAAATATACTGTACGGAACCAAGCTATAATAAAAAAGGTATTAAAGGTCGTATGCTCTTCAGTATAAATGGATTTTGAAGGCTTCCATAATTCAACAACAGAAAGTTCAGAGTATAAAATACCACATTTCACTTGTTAGTCGATTGTGTTTCCTAATTCATTAGCGTTGGTAATGTCTCTGTTATTCTTCTAATAGTCCTGGATACGGGTAATGACTGTGTAGGTCAATAAAATCATATGATACGGCTTCCACGATTCGAGCACATTCAGGGACTGTATCTCAGTGATGACTTTAAGAGATAGTGAATACACCGGTATAGCTACATTCGACCTAGAAAATACAGTGGTTTTATTATACATGTTTTGTGTTTCCCAATTAAGGTAAAGTGAAATAATACAAGCTTCGATTTCAAACACTGGTTCGAAAGTTAACCCTCTACATCAATGAATCCCCTTGTAAATATACAAATGGAGGAGTATCTTTTAAACCGAGTATTTTGTATAAGTAAAATCTTTGAGTAGTTGATGGTGAACTGCTAGTACTAGTACCACACTTCTTGCAGCCAGTGATAGGTAAATGACATTGGATTTCCCTTAGCTTTATCCACACTGGTTACTACGTGGAAAGTAATCCCACGAGCCTCTGAATTAGTAAAAAGCGAGAGACGTACGTATGTGCGCTTTGGTAGCAAGTGTGAACGGACAGATGACAAAAGTTCAGTAGGCATCAGCAATATGTAATACCTTTCAACTTGTTAGGCCTATGTAGTAAGCAGTCCCTAAAAATTTATGGTAAGTAGAATGATCCCCCCCCAAAAATAGGACTTCAATATTTTCTGAGGCGATAAAAAGCTGAGACGCTAAGGATGAAACTTTCAAAAGTGGTTGAGTCGGCCTACGTTTGCTTGTGAAACCCCAGTTCTAAATGAATGTAGACACTCATTCTTCCGACGTAGCCGATCTCTTAGATGTATCACACAGTGAAATAGTATTATTTACTGGATGACGTTTCGAACACAATTTATTGTTCATAATCATATCAATTTTGAAATTGATAATATTTCATAAAACAATTCCAACAGTGGTGTGAACACGGGCAGTAATTTTGCTCGAAATATTACCAATATCAAAACTTATCATTGTGCGTAAACTATTGAAATATAATTATACTTTATTTGAGGGGCAACTTCCTTTAGATTTCTTCCGTTGTTGGTGATTGGTTCTTGTTGTTGTTGTCGGTTAGGTATCTTCATCACCTCTGTCTTCTCCAGGTTCATTTGAAGTCATGTCCTCGCCGCTACTCCTCCCACCTTGTTGGCTTGCATCTGTCAGTCTTCGGGTTTGTGTGACATTAGACATGAATAGTTTGTCTTTTTAATTTATCACATTTATTCATCCTAGTCTATGTTTTGTTTAGTCATCATACCATATTTTATCATGGTATGTTAATATGCCTATTTTTACTATTGCTAATTTTAGAAATTGGGATTAATTGATTTCATTTAATTTCAGTTTGTCAGTCTGTTTATTACTCTCATCATTTCTTACTTTTTATTTTATCGAATTCCAGGTTATCACATCACATTTTATTTTCTTCTAGTTAGTGTAACAAATGTCGTTAGCTGATGAACTTTTGGCTGATCTTGAAGGAGCAGAGACATCTGAGGAATTAATTGCTGACTCAAGTCTTCATGAACTAGAAGATGTTACTTTATCAAGTGTAAACAAGTTGGATGATTTTCTGTCAGATGGAACCAGTTCGGGAGTTAAAAGTGCATTTAAAGCAACTTCATTTGCTGATGCTCCAATCAGTGCTTATGCAAAATTGAGAAATAGTGATAAGGTGAGCTTTTATAGAACTTGATTAGACTCTTGTGCTTAGATAATTGTGTGTTTCTCCATTGTTTATAATCCATTTTATTGGGCTTTACTTTACTAGACGGGTCTTAAAAGTTTATTTCTCATAATTTCATTCTATGAAACACTATCTCCATAGTATTCATATCACAATAACTTGTAAATTGTCTAGAACTTTGAATGAAAAGGACTGCAGGTGAGCTAACTTTACAGAACTAAATAGAATGACACAAGAGCTGAAGTAATACGAGATATATAATGAGTGAATGACGCCCAACCCCTGAGCTTTCTATGCAATTATCACTTCCCACCACTGTGGAAGCTAATTTATTCTTAAAACAACTGGAACAGAAAGAGCATTAGTGTTGCGTGGTCGCAGAGCCCAGTGGACAGCTGCTTAAAGCCAGTCATACGCGGCTTGTTTGAAGGGGTTCTTGGAGTTATGTCCATATTAAGATCCTACCTGTCGGTTATAAACTGCCTTAGGTTAAGTTGAAATGTATAATTTTTCGGGTCGTCATTTCGTAATCTCTCCTTCCTCAGAACGGAGACGTAGCATAGTTGGCTTGCTAGTTGCCGGAAGGAAACACCTTACTGCTGTTACACACCTATTCGCCAACAGTAGAACTGTGCATTTAGAGCCTCAACTTAATATCAGTGACTTACACCGTGATGGTAACTGCCCCTTTTCAACCACCATCCATTGATATTTCCAGTATGGTGGGACCTGTAAGAATATTCGTTCCAACTAGTGTAACTCGGATCATTGTGATTTGCAAGTCTGATCATCACGTCAAGGTTGCAGCTATCGTGAGACTAATTCTTAACTGCCTCATATATTACTTTTCAGTCGTGCTGAGATTCCAAATTGATCGTGTTAAATTATACTTCTATATATAGTGAGTTTTTAGTACATTTAAAGAGGCTTGTTAGTGGTCGGATTAAGACTGAAAGGTTTATGGACAAATTGTGTTTGTGGTTGAAATCCATGTGGTGCTGCGAATTAGAGTTTAGTTTCTTTGTGCCATGTTTTAGAATCAGTGTTAGTGTACGGATTCATCCAGACTCATAGATGAAGATAAGCATTATCATGAGCTGGCATCAGTTAGAGAACCACCGGAAAACCTGGGAGTACTGGATAGCTGTTTTGTCCCAGTTTGGGACTCTTCACAGCACGCACCCACCGGGGTTCGAACCCAGGACTTCCCGGCCACAAGGCGAGCTCGTAGACCATTGAGCTACTGGGACCCAATCCAATGGCCCATGAATTCTAACTTCTGCCAATTCACGACATAGCGCGACCATTTCGCAGTGCCTCATCTTCAACCTGTTTTACCCAACTGTAACCAGAAGGTCCTGGATTCCAACCCCGGTGGGTGCGCGCTGTGAAGAGTCCCAAGCTGGGAGGAAACAGCTGTCCAGTACTCCCAGGTTTTCCAGTGGTTCTCTAACTGATGTCAGCTGATGATGAAATCATCCATCCAATGAAACAAAATCCCTGCAAAACCAGTACTTGAAAATAAGCATTATCAACATAAAACCTGGAAATCTTGTCTCAGCTTTCACATCCTATATCTGCGTATCAAAGGAATGGTAATTAATATGACCAAGAAATAAAAATTATATAACCAAAGGCTATGAAATACTACAAAAGACAATAGGAATAACAGATATTTACGTTCTATCTCCTCTAATAGATGGTATAATTTGGTGAGTAATATCGAGGTTAGGTGTGGACTGTTAAGTAAGGAGGGTGAGTCAATTGATAAAGTTGTTAAGTTACTTCGATTGAGATGACTGGGGCACGTGTTGCACACGCCAAGCTACTACCTTCCTCATCGAGCAATGTCAGCTGACACGAGGTTGGGTCGGAAAAGAGTTTGGGGGCGTTCAAACCAAAAACAAGCATTAGTGCACGAAGTCTATGACAGTTGGAGGAAATGAAGACAGCCTGGTTGGGGTCCTCAGGATTTTAAGTACCAGTGTCTGAAAACTATTGATGATATGGCTGAAAATCGTTCTCATTAGAGCATATGTATTCTAGCACATCCTTTAAACCCTCCTGTTTTTCTATGTTACTATGCTCTCTCCCGTTTTCAGTCTCCCCTTCCTTAGTGTGCTATATGAAATGTGGTATACTGAGAAGCAACATTTCTGTTGAAACTCAACCAGTCAGGCAGGAATAACAGAGAAATATAGCATGAGTAATAGTCAACTCAAAGTGTGAGTACATCTATGTGACCCTGGCATTTGATTGTTTGGTTCAGAACGACCATCAGTGACCTCAGAGACTGATACCACATTTTATTACAGACCTACCCATTCTTTGCTCTCTTTAAATATTGAAAAGAATTAGAGTTTTGATCCCTAGTTGACTTCAATTGGAGAGCCACTGCAAACCAAGGAGTACTGTGGACAGGTGTTTCTTCCTTGTTCGGGAATCTTTGGCAGTACTCACCCAGGGTTAAAAGGTGAACTCGAATACTGTTCATTCACTGGGACGGAATCCAATAGCCCATGAATTGTGACTTGTGCCAATTCGCGATATGGTATGACCTGAAGGTGTTTTGGGTTCGATCTGCAATGGGGTTATGGGTGCGCAAATGATTAGGGGTGGTCCTGAAAGAAGACGAAACGGCAGCTGTCCAGTTCTGCTTGGTTTTCAACGGTTCTCTAACTGAAGTCAATTCGGGATCAAGACCAAAATCAATTAAATTCATGCAAACATACAATTGAAAAGATTTAGTCGGAAAATAATCTCCATCATTTCCTTCTTAAGTGAAATGTCTTTGTTCACTTATACTCTATTGCACTGCAAAGTGTTTTGTTTGCAACTTGCCTAACATCGCCTATGCAGTACATGTATGCAAGAAACCATCATATCTAACCAATATTAACTCGATACGTTATATTTAGACAAAGATTCGTACAAGAAGTGGGAGTAACTCTGCTACATATTTAATATTTGCACGTTGAATAGGAGGAAATATGATATTAAATAGTATCCTGCATAAATGTGTTCACCTTGTTTCAGTTAGATAAAAGCGCAACTTCATGCCTCCTAATATCTTTCACTACAATTTTTTGTTTTCATTTCAGCTAACCAAAGTCATGTCAGATCTTGATTATTTTGCTAATCAAAAGAAAAGTGATCGAATACATGGGCCTGTTGAAGCTGATCCCGAATATCAGTGTATTGTTGAAGCTAACAATCTTATGGTGGAAATAGATAATGAAATCAGTAAGTTTCTTTTTTTCTATTGTTTGCTAAGAAATAGGGTTAGACAATTCACCGGAATGCTTGATATCTGTTGACCTGTTGGCTTCTATCACCGATACTTTGACGATATCTGAAGGTTTACATGATGTTAATTTGGTTGATAGCGGCTAATAGTCGAATACACAACGCACATTTCGTTCTGTTTGGAACTTGTCAGTTGGAGATACTTATGTTCCCATTAAGTAATGATGTTCACTGGAGACGTAGGTATGTCAGGTCGACGAGTCCCCAGTAACACGAAACAGATCTTGAATTCCACCGATAGCCACCACCACCTAAAACACGCAGTCTATATATGAATTAACATATTCTTACTTTATCTGTTGTCGTAGTGTGCCCCATTGGTTTGGACACTCAGGTCCCTGTGAGTAGGTTCCAGGTTCAAATGTCAATTTGCTGCAGGCATCAGATGAGTTGCTCCGTTCTCTCTCTCTGTTTCCTACCCTGTTTACATCAGTCTTGATTGTTTTATATAAGATTTTAAATTTCAGTCCATTGAATTCATTGACTCCGAAATTTCATACACATACTGAAGCACACAAGCATTGTGTCGTCCAGCAATCAGTTATATTCCCCAAGTCTTAAATAATGCTCTGTATGCATGATTTGGCATTCCTGTAATGTTGTAATGAACGTTGCTAACGACTTTAGTAGACTGAAGTCGAAAGCCCAGTTGTATTCTTATATCTAGAACCTGTTATTAACTGTTGGATAAGATGTCTAATCGTACAGTGAAAGCTGGGATAGCATACGTCAATCTAGTCCACCTCTGGCCACATCAGTGTGGTTGCTAATGGTCGAGTTTGCAGTATCTGCACCACTGAGAGAACGATTTTGAGCCATATCAATAACATTCTCCAGTCAATGGTTTTCAGCATCCGGAGGTAGTCTACACCTGACAAAATGGTTCAAATAAATGTTAAAGATTTCATGGACTGATTCCCTGCTTTCGTTTGACCACCATCTTTCATTGTTTTCCAACTCAATCCCGTCAGCTAACAATGCCCGTCAAGGAAGGTGATGGCTCGCCGTGAGTAGCACGTGTCCTAGCCTTCACAATCGATGTGGCTTCACAACCTCATCATATGACTTTCACTACTTAATTAACACTCGATGCCTAGCCTCAGTAGTACTCGCCCTATTATACAACTTAACATAAGAGATGATAGAACGCAGATACCTATGATCAAAGACAGTTAGTCCCTTCAAAAATCTTCCTCTCTCAGTGGGCATATTTCCCATCGCTGAAGAAGGACAGAGCGAAGTCAGTGCAGAGTGGTCTTATAACATCAGGTTATGTTTGACAAAGGCGAATTGTATGTCAAATATACAAAATTTTCTGCTCAACGTGTTCGGAAGACTTTCAGTTTTGTCAGAATTCCTACCTAGTAGGATAATATCACCCGCAACAACAGTGTCCCCTGATAACACTTCAATCCCTAAGTTGTTAAGGTCGATTAGTCACATCCATTAGTACATCTACGATGAAATTAAACAAAACTGAGATCGATGGACGTTCCTGATGAACACCACTGATTGTCATCACTAGAGATGACAAGCCTCCATAAGCCTTAACACAGGTGTATCAGTTTGAGTAGAGTGTCTTTCTTCACAAGTGTAAATTGCCACAGCACCTCTTGGCTGAAAGAGTCAAACGCTTGCTCCAAGTTAAGAAATATGGCAACTGTTGGACGCTGGCAAGTATGCTTATGTTCCAGAATATATCTAAGCCTAACTGTCTTCTGATTACGGATGTTTGCGTTATACCTCCAGTGCTAGTTGATATAGTATGGTGAGTAATATTAAGGTTAAGTGTAGACTACTAGGTAAGAAAAAGAAATCAATCGGTGAGTCGATCAAGATGGCTGGGCCACGTGTTGTGTATGCCGGGTCATCACCAGAAATATTAACCGACATAAGATTCGGTGGGAAAAAGGGTCAAACTCTTGCATCCATCTATGGAATCTTAGACAGTTATTTCGACCTGCATAGGGTGGTGGCAGACTGCCTGTTTAAGGTTTTCGGGATTCTAAGAAACAATCACTTGAGAATATTGGTGATATGGCTCAAAATCGTTCTCAATGATGCAGATGTATTCACACTCTGTTATCTTCGATAGCTATTGAACCCTAATGTCTTACCATGGTCCTACCCTTCCTCCTTTACATTTCTGCTTACCACAGATATTTTTACTTCCTGTCACTTTTCTCCATGGTGTGATAACTTGAAGTGTTGCACATCTGTACAGAGTTCTATGCGGAAACTCATTCATTCAGGAATATATGTATAAACTTTCTCCCTTTTTGTGCTTATAATCATTATTTTCATTTAAAAATTGCCTTTAGGGATTAGAAATTGTCAATCCACAAGCTGCAGAGAAACCAATGGAAATTGGGAATAAGTATTTCAGTAGCACATGTGGTTTCAAAAAAATTGAAGCAAAGATGAAAATTGATGATTCCATGACAAATGGAGTATAATAATGAAATAAGTTGGAGAGAAGCTTGTTTGAGACGGTTGCGAAATCTCCCAATGTGTGTGTACAAAGAATTTATTTTGTTGTTTTAAGTGCGCATATCATCCACTTTCAAGCGGAAAAAATATTCTTGGATTAATATCAGACAAATTAAAACTGTTCAGCTTAACCCCCCTTTTTCTCACTTGTTCCCACAAATTGTATAATATATATCTTATGTAAAATAAAATACATATCCTATATTTTATATCAGTCTTTCAAAATGGTCGGCTTTTGTTTAACAGCACTGAATAGCAAGCGAACATGTAATAATTTGACAAAACACACGATGAGTTATACAGTATTATTTTTTCTTAAAGTTATATTTCGAACACGACTTATTGCTTATAATTATATCAGAGGAAACTCAATGAAGATAGTAGAAATACAAGACTGTGCCCACCTTTATCGGTGTTACTTCTAATTTTGGTGGACTTGATCATCCAATAGATTGTGGAGAGTGAGAAGACAGGCATACTATGAGTCGGCAAAAAGGCTGACTTTGCAGATGACTTATTTTTAGTGTATTACACAAACTCGGAGATCTACAAGCAAAAACCAACAAGATGGCAGAACAGATAAGTAACGGACAGGACTTCGGGTGAACACAGAGGTAGATAATGAAGAAACCTAGCCAAAAACACCAATCACTACCAGCGGGAAGAATCTTAAGGAAGTTGGCTCTTTTCCTTACTTCGGCAACATTAATTCAACTACAAGGGGAACGAATGAGTATGTGAATGTCAGAATTGCAAAAGCAGGATAGGCATACAATACTCTGAAATCAATATGACATGACACCCAACTATCGGTTAGTGGAGGTGTACTTATCAGCAGTTCACTCTATCATCTTATATGGCTATGAGATGTGGCCATTGAAAGTGAAAGATATGAAAAGGGTAGCTTTTTTTGTCCTGTCTCCTGCGTTGGAGTAGTAAGAAATGGTGAGTAATATTGAGGCTAGGCGTTGAGTGCCATATAAGGGTAGGAAGCCAATACATGGAGTTGTGAAATGACACCGATTAATACAGTTAGGACGCGTGTTGCACATGTCTAGTCACCACCCACCTCCACCGGAAACGTGGGCTAACGTAATATTAGGTTGGATGAGTTATCGGCGAGTATATCAGAACCTGGCATCAGTCCATGAAGTCTCTGACAGATGGTTCGAGCCGGCCACGTAGGGAGCTGTAGACTGTCTGACTGAAGTCCTCGGAATACTAAGAATCAATAATAGCTGGAAACTATTGGTGATGCAGTAAACACTCATGTGTTTCCATGTTACTTTTCTTTCTCTTGTACATTTCTGCTTATAGTAGTTCTCTTAAATTTGTTTTTCCTTTCTTTGCTCTACCTCTGTATGCTACGTCGATTGTATGTGTCAAATTGAACTGGTACACTTTAGATGCGTTGAAACCCAGCAGTCAGTCAGTTTGCTAAAATTACCGTTACTAGTACTCCTGTGAATTACTTCTGATCACCACTCTAGTTATTATAATACCCGCTTTTGCAAAAGGCAGATGTTGATTTTCTTTAAAACAACAGCAAAAGGTGACTATGATTTGTATTCAGATACCTGTGGGTATTTATAAATAAGAACATCCACAAATACAGAATGGAATATACAAACAATGAAATTTACATACAAAATAAGTAAAGAAAAATAGTGATAGGGATTGTAGCTACAATTGTTCCTCTTTATTATTTGAATCAAAATGATCCACTGCTGATTGATTGCATCATCATTGAATGTTTTACCTTTTTTGAAAAAAATAAAAATAATTGTGAAACTATTAATAATAACATAAATAAGAGAGAATATAAGTCATCTAGTTATACCATATAAAGAGGGGACATCTGAAACCCTACGTAGGATTCTAAATAAGGCAGGAATTAGAGTGGGATTTAAACCTACAAACTCACTCAGGGACAAGTTGTGTAGGTTAAAGGACCCAATTAGACAAAATAATATAATTTACAAAATACCATCCAATGACTGTGAGGTCAACTACATAGGTCAAACTAGTAGGTCAGGAGTAGTCAGATTGTCATAACATAAGAATTTAGCTAAGGTAAGAATGGTTGACCCTGAAAAGATAAGTAATTTAGAAAAAAGCTCAGCAATTGTAATGCAGGCATTAACACGCAATAGGGTGGGAGAGGGTTAAAATTCTAAAAAGTAATCTAGATAGGTGGATAGAGAGGTTGATTACTGAATGCTTGTTCATCGAGTCTACACCAAAAACAGACAATAGGAATGATTCATCACTCATACTCGAAATATGAAAAATACTACTGCCAATCAAATCAAGTGAAAAATAATGGAACTATGTAAATGAAGTTAGGAAGTCGTGTGATACCTTGATATGATTATGAGCAATAAATTGTGCTCGAAACGTCATTAGTAAACATTACTGTATAGCACTAACAAAAATTTACCCATAATGGAAGAAACTATGGGAACAAACAAAACAAGAACCAGTCGCACAACAAATATGCAGGAGATAAAGGAGATGGATTGGACACTCGCTGGGTGACATCGCGCATCAGGCCATTGTTCTAGTGGAACCTGAAAGGGAAGCGGCGAGTGGGACGTCCAAGGGTGATATGGAGGAGATCGTGAGAAGTGAACAGTATGGACTAACATGGATGCAGGTGAAAAGCACAGCAGAAGACAGAAGCAAGTGGAGACGTGCAGTTGAAGCACTATGTTCCATTAGGAACCCAAGGGAACAATAATAATATTTGTAAGAACCATATGACGCCTAATGTTTATAACACTGAAGTGAGTCCCACTCTTGGGAATTCACGGGCACAATCATCCCCGAGATCGGCTCAAGTTTTACGCCTGAACAATCATTCCATTAAACCAGCTGAGTAATTACTACAGTTTTATGGGAATGGATAAAATAACATATAAGGAACCGAGAACGAGATTACATTTTTCCCTTGAGAATTTCTATAATGTAAACATGACCAGATGATGGTATTATGTTCGCATATAGTTTGCTCGGAATTACTAGCAACTGTTTTTTTTTCAAATCCAGCAGACTAAGTATTATTCATCATTATATCCACTTGCCTCGAAATGCTTCCCGACACTTGTGATCCAAGTACTTACATAACACAAATTAACCCTAAGATCGAAAAGTAAATTATGTCGAAGAAATACCTAGTGTTTATGGTAAAAAAAAACACCTAATTGTTAACAGTTGCTTAGTTTAATACTAGTGGAATCAAAATCTCGAGCCACATCTGTAGAAAAGTTGGCCTCCTGATCTGAACATATGATTGCAGTCGAAAACATATCGACATTGCCATTTCCAAACATTTCCCAGTTAAATTAGTTGTGCACTAAATTAATCAATGAGCTAAAATTCCGCATCAACAATAACATACTATACCGGCTTAAGCGACTGTTTCTGAAAACATTACAACTTCAGGAAGATCTGTTAGATATCTAAGACTTCAACAGTAATCGCCTCATTATAAACTACTTCTCCTGCTGTGTATGAAGTTGTATCGCTGGTGTAAAGATTACAAAAGCAATAAAGCATTTTCCCCTTCCACAAATAACAGAGGAATTATGCCATCTATTCACTTGACTAGTTGGGAAACTTATCTGTGGACGTACCAAGATGTAAGATGGTAAGAATTGCCTAACAATCGGTGACTCTGACATTCTCTTATTGCAGAACAGTAAAACAGTAGGGTGAATTTATAGTGCCTACAATGTCACAATGGAATACTACATCAGTATTTGGTGCCCCCTTGATGATCATTACCTATCGACTCAAAAATAAATGTTAGGACATTAACTCTGAGATGAAAATGTTTATAAAGGCTCAAATAACTAAAGATTTTGGTGTCCTGAGATTAGTACATCAATTAGAGACAAGGAACACATACATAGTCTTGCCACCTCTATATGATGGATGCAAATCAACATTACACAACATATGCACTGGTAGAAAATGTGAAGTGATGATTATTAGACATTGCATCTATTAAGACAACCTAAAGAGCCTGTCATTTACTGTAACATGTTAAATCAAGAGAATATTAAAAATTTTAATGGATAAATAAGTAAAACAAAGTCACTCAGTGAACTAGACAAAAAAAGTCAAAGTCATGAGATATTATGCAAAAGAAAATGTTTACTATACAGGAAGTATGACAGTATCCATCAACTTGAATTACTACTGATCCTCTCCAAGCGGATCAGGTATACCTTCCGTCTCCATTATCAGCGCTCTTTCCAATATGACTTTGCCTTCCTTGTACCTCTGGCTTTCCTCCATAGCATGTTCATACATCCAACCCAATTTAGTATTGCACTTAATGCATACGACGTCTCTTACGAGATGACGACCAGTCAGCATAACACGGTCCTAAAGTAGCAATTTCATTCCATGCGCCGAACATACCTGTATGTCACTGTGAACTATATTCACTACACGGTTGAATAAGAAAGCACGACCGGTAGCCCCAGTAAAACGAGTACTCAGTATTTCGCTTCGATTTGTGAGTGGCGTCTCACAGAATTGACAGTTTATTACCCTACTCCCACCCATATGCTCTATAAAAATCCTTCCCATTTGCGTACACTGAAGGCTACAAAAAGGAAAAGAAACCGTTAAAGACAGCTGATTTAAGCCAAAACGACCTACAGCTCGATGAACTAAAACAAATCGTGCTGTCTTTGGGAATTTATTCATTCTACGACTAATTAGTGACGATAAGTGAGGTTATATTCCAATAGTGGTTTTCTTAAACTTGCTGCGATATATTTCAGATATATTTCACACTTCTTAAGTGTTTGGCTCACTGAGAGTATTTGAAGCCACCGCCCAATCTTCATATATTGCTGAATAAAATCTCGCTGATTCTGAACTCTCTCTATAATGCGCAAATACTGAAATTGCTCTGAAATGGTGTGATTAAGCATAGAGACCATGTGTATGGTAGGCGAGAGTCCCAACGGCTGTGCCACCGACTCTGAGTTGGAAATCTCCTTTCTGCTACTCCCTGTCTGAAGCTGTCAAGATGTTTGAAACAAGAAGATTGGAACTGCTTTTTGACAATAAGAGCAATGTATTTATTGAATTGCTGTAGTTCATCGGGTAAACGCTGAAAAAGAACATAACTTCTCAAAGCTTTGCTCCTCTTTATCTCCACGACACGGTGACTTATTGCATCGTTACGACCGAGTGTGCGCCGCTTTGATGTTTTAGAATTCGAGAATATATGGCTGCACCTGAGTGCTTCCCATAACAAATAAGAACGTTTATTTTTTACTAATGCAGCTTTCTGGAAAATGCTTTATGCCAAAATTTCATGCATTGGCATACCTGTTGACGGATTTTCAAGCCTTTACGTCGTTGAGAGGTGAGCAGCAGTCATATGTGACTGGTGCAGAAGCATTCATATAGGGGGCTCCTTAGACATGATAATATTCTGAATTGTATTACTGCAGGGGGGTTATAACGTATAAATTCACCTAACTAATTCTCAACTGTGCCACACCCATGCTGTAAATTTTTATTGTTGTGGAATAAAGTGATTATTATTATTAACAAACAACATAGAGCCGTCTATAATACGTTGGAAATAGAACCGCAGGCATTGTCCACAAAATGGCAGAGAATTAGTCCAACAATCTCCGCCAAAACAGGCAGAAGTGATGAGAGTGGTCGAACATCTAGAGGACTGTACGCACGTGTCTATCGGTATCAGTGTCATTGATTAATCAGATGCTGTATTAATCACTGATGCGCTGCTGTGGAAATATAGGAACGATTAAACACGTCGTTGAAACTAAGAAGGACCTTCGATTCATGCGACCGAAAATGAATCAGTTAAGATACTCAAAGGGTGAGATCTAACAAAACACTCAGTAAAAAGGCATAGATACGACGAAACATCACCCTAAATTTATATTAAATCTAATCTCACTAGAGCTCGTAAATGCAAAAGCATGAAAAAACAAAAGAAGAAATTCACGACAGTCAGTTGATGCAAAATGCAGAAGCAGTACACCGCCATCATAGGAAGACCCATTTCACATCTAACTTCGCGCAGTTAGATGCCATAAATACTAACTACTAGTGGTTACCGAACAGATCAGAGCGATATACTCGTCAGATGACAATCCCACTAATAATGGATTCTACTGCAATTTACTGAGAAAATGTTTGAGTGAAATAGCCGATATGCCATGAGTTAGGAATTTTCTGGACAACCTAAATAGAGCAGGAAATCTCATCGACTGCTTGACTGCCACAATGCTTAAGCGTATAGCATCTCCTCATCAGTCTATTATTTATATCCAAGCTGAAAATTCCATACTTGTACCAAAAATACTGTGTGGAATCAAGCTGTAAATAAAAAATAAAAAAAATAAAATGGTATCCCAGACTCAGTAACCCTAGAGACTATAGGAAGCAAAATCCTGGATTATTGCAGCATAGCTAGTGTGCCATGTCGATGCAAACAGCTTCGTAAAATGTCGACCCAGTCTAATTGTCCCATCATTTCCAGGTTCGGTAGTTCTCTGGATGCTATTAAGTTTACTAAATTTCAAGATCATTCAAGAATAAGTGGTGGTTATAAGTCTGTAACCATAGCTCAGGACAAACATGGTGTCAAAGCGGAATAATGGGTAGTAATAATTTGGTCACCTCATCTGGCTAATATTTACCGAAAGCGGATCGTTTACCGCAACAGTCACCTAGTACTGACAGTAGCATTCAGCGAGCCACACTACGATCATGCCCACCAATCGAAATGGGAAATGATTTAGATATTAGTATCCCTGTAAACAAACTTCATTTAAAGGTACTAAATAGCTGACAGTGCTGCACGTTATCCCGAGAATTTTTCAACTAAACGTGGTAACCTCACCAAGGTGAACAACTTCGCGAAATTGAGTCTGATGCCGGGCTGAAATATTTGTATTCAATAGGCCTTCCGAAAGTAAGCGTGTCAACGAACCCACAGTGGACGCTAGGGAACCCCCTCGAAACACATATATTGGTGGTGGTTTTCAACACACTCCGTCTTATAGAAACTTGGGCCCCGAAACCCCTGGAGTTCTGCGACCGAAGCATCTTCCCACACAATATTCTCCTGGTTATAAAAACAACAGCAGGACGCGTACCGGTATACAGAATGGCAGGTTGATGGGTAGACCTTACAAGTTACGCCTTTTAATCCACAGCCCATCCCTAACTACCCGTACATCCAGGAGCACACAGTAAATTGTTTAGGTGTCCTGAATCACTGGTACTACCTTTGGCACCTGGGACCACCTCATCGTGCTCTAACCCCGATATATGGAAACCCAGTCCTGCCTCTTTTACGCCCATACATTCTCCCGGAGCTGACGCACAAATAGAATAAGGTTACAATAATAATTTATTTTTCGTATGAACGGATAAGTTCATAAGAAACTCAAGTCATTTTTACAGCCACGATCAGATATGTTACAAATTGCAATCGTGAAATATCACAAATTAACACTTTTTCGAAAATTTTAAATTGTTGGATCACTGTACAAGCAATCTAAACAGGTTCTTATAAGTGTCACATTGTAAACCCTTCACCAAGGCCACCATCAAGGTTGCCCGCCAGTCCAAACTTCATTCCGTTCCCTGCTCAAAGTTACCGCCAACCAGTGGACAGTGTATACTTGGGTAAGCGCCGTGCCACCATGTTATTAAAAGCTATTTCAGGAAGATAAGAACGTCCTGGGAAACTGAAAAATGGTGTGAAATGCAATAACGGGTAACAAAACATTGTATTTTAGGTCAGTTCGCCATATCACCGATTAATACACATTCCCTAACCAACAAGATATCTGGACCAAGGACATTATTACTGATCACCAAGCCTTCTTTAGCACTGATGACTGTTTAGAGGCTGAAAATAATGACGTCCATGGATAGTACGGTTTATACCAGCGCAAGATCCAATACCCACAACTTCTCTAGTGATCTTGGTGGCCTGCTTAAATCTTGGGCTAGCAAATACCTTCTTACATTAGAAATCATACTGCATCTAATTTCTTATTTCCAATTCATTTTAAATTACTAAATCTTATTCAAATATGACCTTTAATCGGATTATTTATTCTCGCGACTATTTATTATCCTTAAAACCTACTGATCTGCAATTCCATAAAAAAGACAAAAAAGCATCATGCCGGCTGGCAAAGAGCATTAAAAAATACCCCTATTCAATTCATGACTGTTCCCGCAATTATGAGTACCAATTGTCGCTCCCTGCCAGCTAAAATTAACTGTCTTCAATCGCTGGTGTCTTCCATTATATATCATAATACTGGGATCATATCACTTCAAGAAACATGGCTACATGATCCATATGATGACAATCTAGTGTATCTAAATGATTTCAAATTGTACCGACAAGATCGGTGTAGTTCCAGGAAGAAACACGGTGGCGGTGTCGCCATCTTCATCAATTCACAATGGTGTACGTCTAATAATGTATGTTTCAAATTCTCTAGTGACAATATTGACTGTCTCACCGTTAAGTGTCGACCTAAACATTTGTCAAAATACAACTACATTTACATCTCGAACATTTATATTGCTCCTGGATGCAACTCCACAGAATTATCTTTATTTGCGGATGAATTTACTTCCCTTGCTGCCACCTCCTTCGGAAATTCCTTGTCTATAGTTACTGGTGATTTTAATTCTAGTGATCACAGCTTCCTAATTTCACTTGGACACGATAACATTGTCAACTTCCCGACTAGAATGGATAACACTCTTGATCTTGTGTTTACAAATGACACAGGAATATTTGAAGCTCGAAAAAGAGCCCCACTACTAAATTCAGATCACTGTATCATAAGAATATTGCCCAAAGTATATGGAAAGCAGCACAAAAGGGTCTTCTCACACCTTGGAAAGAAAACACAACATAGATGTTATTCCCATGACAACATACTGAATCCAAGGTCCATGTTAAAAGACACAAACTGGGACTTATTTACTGAACAAGCTCTTGATAACACAATCACCAACATAACACATTATCTTAATTTCTGTCTTGATGTTTGTTGTTCAAAAGAGACAATCTTCTTAAAATTCGATCGCTTCTCCTCTTCTCAACTCAAAAAGCTCCGCCGTGAAAAAGAAAGGTTGTTCAAAATGAAAAACAAATCTGGTGTTAAGAGAATGAACACTTTGATTAAGCTTGAATTACAAAGATTGAATGCTCTCTATAACCAGAAGTTTCTTTCATGTAAATCCCCATCAAATATGTGGAAGTTATTAAAGGAAATCGCAGGCGGTAAGCAAATGATGAATGATATTTCTGTAGATGTTAACACGCTTAATGAATCCCAGCAAATATTATGATT